ACAAACAAACAACATTAAAACAACAACAAACATTGAAACATTGAAACAAGACTTCCAAAAGTTTCCATATTAGAGAGATTTCGACGTAAACTTGCAGGGGTGTTTGTTGTACTTCAACAATATGAAAAATCTTTGCTCGCAACCTATTGCAGAACTTTTGTTATATGAAGAAAGAGAAAGTGTAGACCGAGAGCTTCTAATAAATTTTCCTACTACTCAGATAATCGCCGGGGGCAAGCGGTCCGCAAACTTGCGCTTTTCTGCAGGCGGTCAGCAGAATTTTGGGGCGTGGCCAAACCTTCAGCGGGCAATACTTTCGTCTTCTGCCAGCGGGCAGCAATACAAAATTTCCTGCAAGCGCTCCGCAAATAATTTCTTTCAGCGAGCGCTGGCCAAATTTTCAGCAAGCGCTCGGACTCTTTTTAGGCATTCTCGGGCGTACGTCGAGTGCAGGTAAGACTCTGTGTGGCAGAGATGTCACCGTTGGTTTAGTTACTCAAGTTTGAGGTACTTTCTCTCAGCGGAAAGTACCTGAGGGTTGAGCGGTCCTCCACAAAGGACCGTGCGGCCCTCGAAATTTTTGCATATTCTCGCGGAAAGCCCGCGAGAATGCGGCCACTGCGCCGCAGCTAATCCATAAAGATACCGCGATTGTTCTTCAAGCTTTCGTCTTTAATTTCGCCAACTTTCTTCCAAATTTCTGCAAGCGGGCCGCAAAAAATCAACGAACTATTTTTCCGGTGCCCGCCTGCCCATAAATCGCATCGCCGCTTGCCCCCGGCGATTATCTGAGTACCAGTCAGACAAACGCCGGGGGCAGGCGGGCACCGGAAAAATAGATTGCTGATCTCTCGCACCCCGCTCGCGGATTTTTTGGAAAGCAATCAGGACTTTTCGGAAGACCGCTTGCTGAGTTCTCGATTCCTCAGATATTCAGCAATATATCTGCAAAAGATAAGAGCGAAAAAAAATTCAACAGGCGGTCTCTCAAAAATCCGCTGACTCGGCAAGCGGCCTTCCGAAAAGTCCTGATTGCTTTGCAAAAAATCCGCGAGCGGGGTGCGAGAAATCAGCAATCTATTTTTCCGGTGCCCGCCTGCCCCCAGCGATTGTCTGAGCAGAAGTCCTTTGAAAAAAGTGGAACAATCGGAAACGCACTTTTCTGCCCCTTCAAAGAAAGTAAGAGAAATGGCTACTTACGAGTGATTACCTTCGAGCAATTTTTTTTTCATTGTTGATTCATTGGTCCCTAGGTTCAGCGAACACATGCAGCAAAGAGGAAATTGGAATTCTCAAGTACCTGAGGCCAGAGACTTTTCAAACCCTATGTACTGGGTGAACCGAAAGTTCTGTCGCTTTGATTTCGAAAAACTCGCAATTGCTCCCTATGTAACGTACTTGCTCACAAAAATATCGCTAGAATTCATGTACTTTGTGCTAACATCTTTTCGGTTCTCTAAGAACAGGGGACTTCAGAAATAAAAATTCGAAAATGAGAAACACTCAAACTCCCGACTTCGAAAATAAACCATTGAAAGTCTGAAACGCTGCAGAAAATTCTAGAAGCATGTCTTATAGGTTTTTGAGCTACTCTTTCTAACAGTGCCGCTGGTCGAGTTTTTTTCATAAAAACTTGTGATTTTCGTGAAAATTGCGAAAACCGGCAAAAAATGACGTTTATGAATTTTTTGCATTTTTCACGAAAATCATTAGTTTTTATAAGAAAGAGCTCGATCAGAACAAATTTGGCACTGTTAGAAAGAGCAGCTCACAAAACCTGTAAGAAACATGTTTCCAGAATGTTCTATAACGTATCAGATTTTCAACGATTTTCTTTCAAAAATCGGGAGCTTGAGTGTTTCTCATTTTCGAATTTTTATTCCCTTATCATCAGAGAACCGCGAAGATGTTAGCAGAAAGTAGATGAATTTTTCTTTCTATTGATATTTTTTGGAAGCAAGTACGTTCACATAGAGAGCAGTTACGAATTTTTCATCAAAGCGACAGACCTTGCAGTTTAACCTACTACAAGAATTTCTAATTTGACACGTACGTGAGCGAGTGATAAGTTAGCTTTAGGCGTATATAAAATTTCCCTTTGCTTCTGGCACCAGAAAACTCCTAAATTTGTCTTGAAACTTGAGGTGGAATGATGTCACTTCTTTAAACCATCTCATAGAGCTCTTTTCTTTGTTGAAAGGTACCCCAAAACTAATCAAAAATAGGAAGTTTTTGGACTTATTTCAGTACAAAGTCGAAGTGCAATAAAACTTATGTGACGGAAACAACTCAACATTCGTTATGATTGTAGCTATTAAGTTGTTTTATAAGTCTTTTCATATCTGACGTCTCACCGACATAAGTTTTAGTTCTTTTTATACTCCTGATGGGATGCGGGGTACCATTCGACAGATCAAAGCAAGCTCTATCAGATGGTATTTGATAGCTCGCACCAAGCTTAAGCCGCATTTAGTTTTGAGCCAAAGTTGAAAAAATCCGAATTCCCGAAAAGACCAGAATAATCGCATGTCGGTTCAGAACGTGTCTGCGGATTCCCACTCGCTCAATATACTCCTCCCATCAAATATTTATGTATACCCTTGCTGCATTTTTCGAATTGTTAAAAACGAGAAAAAAATAATATGTTGACTTTTCAAACTTTGTCTGTAGCGGTTCTTTGTTCCTCGCAAGTATGTGATTATATAGCTTATCCACTCAGAAATACTGCCACAAATTTGCACTCTTGCAGGTACTTTAGTTCTTGAGAAATATCAATTCGAAGATTCAGATATGAAAAGACTTATGGGACAACCTAATAAATGTTCCTATATCCAAAAACTGTAGTCGAGTACTTTAGCATCAACAAACTTTCTTGCTGCTTTCATTAGTGACGTGAAGGAAAGGGCAGCAATACAATTTCACTTGAGTGAAAGCTATAAAAGCTCACTGGAAGGGCACATAAATATGGTGGTTGTAGGCTTTATTGTAGCCTTAGGCGGATGGGTGGCGCTTGTTCTGGAGTATGGTAGCTCCTGGTGTGTTAATAGAACACCAAACTATTAGAGCTTTAATGAACAGACGACATGCACCCATTCGTGCAGTGGTAGAATGCTAACGATTACAGGCGGAGCAAAGTAAGTTGACGCTCATCTGGGCAATAAACACACTCATATCACAGCAGGCCACGCTTATGGCATGACGTTTACGGTACCTTTTCTGGCGAGGAATGGTACGACTGTGAGGAAGTGCCGACAATGTCGGCACAGCAATGCTTAATCTCTACCTTGAAAAATCGGAAATACTATCAAGCTTCGACGACTTAGTCAACTGATAAAGTTCATAATATACCATCTCTCAGCATGAATTTATGCTGGAACTTATGCTAGGATATGGTCAATTTTATTCTTGTGAATGTCGACCATAACACTTTAGCGACAACTTGCAATTTGAGTTGTGCGCTTATGGAACAATGTCTCCACGAATAAGTCGTTTTTGTCTAGAACCGCTCAGTTCGTTATACAGTTATACCTATAGTGACTCTAAGAAGCTCAAAAAATGCGAAATTACCTTCTAATCACAGCGTATAAGAGCTTTTGAAACGAATGTAAATAGTAGTCATTTTAACAAAATCAAAGATGATCCACCATGCGGGTCACATTGTCCCACGCGGCAGTTATTGCATGACGTTGTCGTCAACGTGTTAATTTGGAACTAGCAACTGATATTCAAATTACTTTCGACGATGAACAGCGCTACCAGATTTATGAACTAAATTTGCACTCGCCATCTTCTCCCCACTTCAAGATTAAGCATACACATCTTTATAAGCTCACAGAAAACTGTTAGCTGAACCATAACCTTGTCACGTATTGAGACAGCATCTGAGGCTTGAATTTATTCACATCAGCGCTAGTATTAGGTTGTTACATAAGTCTTGTTACACTTTATTTCTTACGGCAATAAGTCATGCTTCTCATCTTCTTTACAGGGCTCCAGGGTACCATTCGATAGAGCAAAGCAAGCTCTACAAGTCTTTGTGCAAAAGTTCACACCAACTTCGACCCACTATAAGTTTGCATCCAAAATCTGAGTTGTACTAAAGGCTCAAAAAAACGCGAAAAATTCATATCTTCGCTCAAAAAATTTCTACAAACCTCCAACTTGTTCATAAAAATTGCACACTATATCAGACACTCATATGTACCGTTGCTGTATGTTTTCCTCATCTAGAAATCGAGAAAACGAGAATTTTCTTGTTTTTACAAAAACAAAGCTATGCTGTTTCTATTTATGTAGCTGTATATACAAGCCATTAGAAGTATAACCGTAAATTTTCGCTTTCCAGAAGCCCTAGTTTTCGGATATTACCTAATTTAGCATTGAACACCTGAGCGAGAAAAACCAAATTCGGTATTTTTCGAAAACTAGGGCTTCTGGAAAGCTGAAAATTTACGGTTATACTTCTAAGGGCTTGTACTATATAACTACATACCGGGGAACAGCGTAGCTATTTTTTTGTAAAAAATAAAAATTTTCGTTTTCTTGATTTCTAGATGAGGAAAAAATACAGCAACGGTACATGTAAGTGTCTGATATAATGTACAATTTTTATGATCAAATTGGAGATTCGTAGAATTTTTTTTGAGCGAAGATACGAATTTTTCGCGTTTTTTGAGCCTTCAGTACGATTCAGATTTTGGATGCAAAATAGTGGATCGAAGTTGGTGTGAACTTTTGCACAACGACTTGTAGAGCTTGCTTTGCTCTATCGAATAGTACCCTGGAGCCCTGTAAAGAAGATGAGGTGCATGACTTATCGCGTAAGAAGTTGAAGTGTAGCAAGACTTATGTAACACCCTAATATTTCGCTTTGAGTGTGCCACGCAAACAGAAAGTTTGATTTTGCATTGACCTCTAGTTATCCATTTGCGTATGGAAAGTTGCAAAATCTAAGATGCCCTTCCATGAAACGACATGCAAATGCTAAAGATTTGATTCAGGCGGTTTTCAATGAGATTCCTGCTCCTCTTAGCCCTTGTCCTGGCAGAAGCTTGTCCAAATCAAATTCAACCTTCTGTCGCCCGTCGCGACGATATTGAGGAAGTAGTGCACAATAAGTTTGTGCTAAATTCAAGCAAAATTCGCTTAAAAATGATTAATCTTGTAGGTTGCGCCCAAGGACTATCACAAAAACCGATACCATCAGAGAAATTCATATCGATGTCAGCGGACTGCACTCATCGCCCTCAAAGATGTCTCCCCTCAGAGATTCTGAGACTTTTGAAAGTGAACAGATAATCGTTACCACTCCTTTGCTTGACCTACTTCCGCTATTAGGTACTCTACTGAAGTGCTGGTTCCAAGGTCGATTAACATTTCGAACAAGCATCAATTGTTCTTCATTATTATACGGGTCAGAAAAACCCGACAAACTCTAGAGCCATGATAGCTGAGTCTGGGAGTCTAGGAATCCTAAAGGGATCTATAGCTTTATTCCTGACTTTGTTCACCTTTCCAGTAATTCGGTGAGTGTGTGTAAGCTTTTGAGATCTCGAACAGCTGTCGTGTGTTTGACATAACTCTCATTCATACAAGAAAACATTCTAATGTGCAAGTTATCCTAAAATCACACAGATAAGTCCGCCTTCAGATATGTCCGCTTTTTTGACTCACAAGGAATGCTTGTTTGGTCGAAGTGGCCTTTTTAAATGGGATGTATACTACTTATAGGGCATAAAATGCTGATTCCAAATGTGCTTTCCTTATCTGCAGAGCGTTTATGGAGGAGGAGTTATGAGCGCTTATCGGAACAAAAAAATTGAATGTGCAAGTAGAACAAATATAGCTGTAATACTTTTTCTAGTTCTTCAAAGGAGCAGTAATAATCACCAGAGCACTTATTTGAAAAACACTCTAAAAAAATATGCCACAGTTGGCTGCATTATTTGAGGGCTAGTAAGATTTTTGCGACCCATTTCATTCAAAATGCACGTTCAGTTTTTGGCTCCGAAAAACGCTCATAACTCCTTCATAAAGGTTCTGCAGATAAGAAAGGCAGGTTTGGAATCAGCAATCAATTCTATGCCCTTTTACACGGTATACATCTCACATAGAAAGGCCACTTTGACTAAACAAGCTTCCCTTGTCAGATAAGGCCCTTCAAATAAGTCGGTTTACTTCCCATTAGAACTACCCTGAAATATTGTCAGATAAGTCCAAAGACTGTTAGATAAGTCCGGACTTATCTGTAGGGGGGCTTACTTGAGAGGAATTATCTGCAAGATTTCTGGCAATGCGAGGGTGCATTTTCATCGATCCATCTTGGCAAAAAGCGGACTTATCTGTAAGATATTAGGATATATCTAGAATCAGCAACTCTAACGAGCTAATAGAGCTAGTTTTAGGCAGGCACTAGACTTATCTGCTTAGCTGCTCTGCCGCTTTATGATTGGTCACTACGCTTACTTAACCAAATTATGAAGCGCTTGGCGACTACGCGCCAGGCCCGTGAGCTGGATTTTTTTGGTGCGAAATGTAGACCTTAGCCCAGTGAAGTTCAGAATATTGAAAGGATCCACCTGCTGGTTTTCCTCCTGCGTTAGAGCCCTTTTTCGCCGTTTTCGCGCTCTCCAGTGCGGGGTTTGGATTCAGCATAGCGAGTATGCCCGCTCAGATAATCGCCGGGGGCAGGCGGTCCACAAACTCGCGCTTTTCTGCAAGCGGTCAGCAAAATTTTGGAGCGCGGCCAAACCTTCAGCTAGCGGTACTTCCCTATTCTGCCAGCGGGCAGCAATACAGAATTTTCTGCAAGCGCTCGTCAAATAATTTCTTTCAGCGAGCGCTGACTAAACTTTCAGCAAGCGCTCGGACTCCTTTCATGCACTTTCGTGCGTACGCCGAGCTAAAGTAAGACTCTACCTGGCAGAGGTGTCTTCGATGGTTTTATTACCCAAGTTTGGGGTACTTTCTCTCAGCGGAAAGTACCTGAGGGCTGTGCGGTCCTCCACAAAGGATCGCGCGGCCCTCATTAATTTTGCATATTCTCGCGGAAAGTCCGCGAGAATGCGGCCAATGCGCCGCAACTAATCCATAAGAAAACCGCGACACTTCTCCGAGCATTTGTCAAAAAATTGAACAATATTCTTCCAAATTTCTGCAGGCGGAGCGCAAGAAATCTGCGAACTATTTTTCCGGTGCCCGCTTGCCCAAAAATCGCATGGCCGCTTGCCCCCGGCGATTATCTGAGCGGGGAAGCATAAATTCTCAAAATCGACTTTTTGTCCGAACACTGCCTATAATGTACTACTTCTCTATTAGGTTGTCACAAGTCTTATGCATTGGGTCGAAGCCTTTCAAACATCTTCTCCTTCATTTGTTTGCAACGTCCATCAACCACGTATGAGCCATTACTGTCAACAATATATCATCAATACGCAGGAAAGTATCTGATGCTTTTGCTATATACTCGTTGTCTCTTGGTCGAAGAAATTCTGAAGACGCCTTTAAGGTCCTCCTCGCTTAATTTTCATCGAGAAATTGGTGGAAGACAAAATGGCAGTAGGTTGTGCCGTGTCTGGCGAATACAGCAAATGAAGAGGAGTTGACCAACCAAGTTTTTGGAGCTTATGGCGGGGAACGGTTGCTACGTGGGGTCTTGCAATGTCATAAAAAAGGAAAGCTTTTACTTTCTACATTTACCTAATATACTCGAGTCTGGGTTTGGATCAGTGACATAAGGCAATCCGCAACCGCTGTCTGAAATAACAAAACTAGGTACGTTGGTAGCGCTCGCCCTCTCGGTATTAAACCTTAAAATCGGATCCGCAGCAACCGTGATGTCGTGAACGAGCTCGTACAGTGACTGTTCGATAAGTGACGCTTAGCGGCAATGTTGATCAAAATGGACGGCTAAAGCGGGGCGGGTCGCAGGCTTCTTTTCGTCATCGCTCGATAGCGATCTTAGAAAATAGATAAATATCGAATTTAGCAAAGTTTGGATTAGGAGACAGTGCTTTTAGATTCTTCTGATCGGCTGCGAGGAGCTCTAAAAAATTATTTCTTTGGAGATATCGCTTTTTAGTAAAGCCATGAAACACGCCACTGCAAAAAAAATTGGAAAGTTTGCAAGTTTCTGCGAGCTGAAGCCTGGTTATTATTAGTATTTCTGCAAAACAGTCAAGCTTGATTTGCTTTGAAAAGTCACCTTTTTGGAATTCCGGTATTCCTATGCGTTGAAGGTGCGCAAAAAGCCAGGTTTTTCGATAATCACTACAGAATTCAAAAATCTCTTCCATGTAAATTAAATTAAGTTTGATGCAACCGAAGGTTTACTCTACTCAATAACTATTACAGCTTTGGAAAAATATCACAAGCTTTTTTAGGAGTTAAGGAAAATTTGCGACTGTTGAGCTGCTTGAATAGCTATGACCATAACATCGCAAAGACTGCACAGACCAAAAAGATGTAGCTAGCAGGAAGAGCATAAAGATCTGTATCGAGGTATTCAAGTCGTTTATCGATCAGACTTCTTTGGGTTTCGATGGCCGATCAAAGAGACCGACAAAACTTTCGGGCCAACCTGATATAAGTGGGACTGGGACAGGGCAGTTATACGATAGGGCATTGCAATCAGGGTCAAGCATGTGATGCAACTGTCGCAACGGGAGGTCGTAAAGGGGCACCGGCGGTGGGGGGGGGGGGTCGTAGGAGAGGGTGGTGCGAATTAAAAAAGTGTGGGATGTAGGAAATAAGCTTGTCAGTTCAAACATTCAGTCTTCAAAAAGCCACGTTTTTCTCCCTGCAAAAAAAGGTGTCGCAGGGGGTATCGAACTTGCTGGCCACAAGTATGACCGAAAATTCCGAAGACACTTTGAGAAGCTCAAACACTGGCATATATGTGTGATAAGAACGTTGAACGTACCAACTGGCCTAGATTTCCTGGTTCCGAAGTCTCACTTAAGTCTCACACTCTCGACAAAAGCGCTCATTACTACCAGCGATGACCATCGATAATTTTTAAATTTTTGTTATGTCTTTTAAGGGCCCGTACAATTTACCTGTACTTTGGAGATGCTCTGCTACAGTTGTGCGAAATCTGGTTATATCTCATAGCCTGTGGATTTTTTAAAATTTTATATATGGCAACAAAAAATCAAAAAGGGGGGGGGTGGTGTCGTATCTGGGTCGCATCCAAATTTCTCCGGAGCTGGTGAAGCTTGTTGGCTGCAGTCTTGCTGTACTACGAGGCCTTTCTCTTACTTTCTATCGTTAAAATTTTAGGCTGTTTCATAAATTCTCTGGTGAGTTACAAAATTTCAAGCTTAAAAATCCCAGTTTCTGCTTTTTAGGATCCTAAATTTGCGACAGTCGCATCTAGATTTTTTCGAAAAACTTTTTCCATGGATAGTCTGGGCACAATACTACACAGCCTAAGCCTCTCAGTCTTTCCCTGACCTTAATTACGATTTTCAAAGTACCGTGCTCATGCCAGCAAAGGTGACATACTGGTCAAAAATATGTGCTTCCTTCCATATATGTGAAATCGAGTTTATGCTTTCTAAATTGGACAAAAAGAAGAAAAGATGTTAGTGTAACGGGGGATTGTCTAGCGGTATTGACGGTTTGAACCGGATCGATCAATATGGGCACGGTCAGAATAAAGATATTTATCTCTATGGCAACAACGAACAACAATAACTCGAACAACTTGAACAACGTGAACACTAAACAACGACTGATTCAATCACCGACCACACTTTTGACTTCGTTTTCCACAAACCACTCTTCTTAAACGGTAGTGGCGGCCACACGGATACAATCTTCCCTCCTTCTTCGAGATACTTCTTACATATCCGCAATGTCTCTACAATAGCCTCATCCTTCCTTCTTGGGTTCATGGGCCATACTATGATCCACATACGACATGTCTTCAAGTACTCCAGTGCTTCCTTGAGTTGACTGAATGATACTGCCACTCTGTTCTGTACTCCACACTGCTTCAACTCAACTTCCTCAAGTGATCCTGCACATCTCGGCGCAATAAACGCAACAGGACGTTCCTTCTCAGAACTTTGTCCTTCCTCACTACGTGTCTTTTCAACTCTGACTCCTTTCTGTGCCTCTCCGCACATTTTTCGATCACTTCTGGAAGGGGTGTGCTTCTTGCTGCCCTTCCTACATGTCGATTTTTTCCACTTGCGCTCATAGGCTTCCTCTGGTTAAATTCCTTTGTCTGCTTTTACATCACTTTTTCTCTCATTAAAAGTTTTCTTGTTGACAGTCACAGA